GACTTGCGGATCTCACTTGCAACTGTCGTCGAGGGCGTGCGGTCGGGCTCAGAGTGAGGACAAGGCATGTTGACAAGGGTCGAGCGGAGAGGCGCTTGTTTGATCCTATTGCTGAGGCCTACGTAGTATATTAACCAGGTTTCATTTTTTTCTCTTAATCTGAGACTTGATTTTACATTTATTCTATTCCTGCTGCATTTTTTTTCTAAAAAAAAAAATATATATATATATCTTCAGTCATTGTATCTAATGTGCCCACTAGCAGTTGCTGAGATTATACATATTATATAATATCCAGGGGGTTATGAATTATAATACATTAGTCACTATTATGGTTGTTATAGGAATGAGTGATTGTTGCCACACTTAGCGAGATTTAATCTTCACACAGTATTCAGGAAGAAGAATTTAACTAATCAGAAGTCTAAAAGAGAGAGAAAAGATATGAACCACGTATCGATATTATATGACATTATTTGAATATTTTTTGTAGAAATTATTTTTGTTTGGAGTTACAATAAATTATAAAAAAAAAGAAATACATTTACATCTATTCCAAAAAGAGCATTTTATTACACTGAGTCTAAACCTTGCAGTAAATATGACTGTTAATTTGCCTTCTTGATTGTACTTTTTTTCATTCAGTCGGTGTCCACAATTACTTGGTATTAATCATCTTCTTTTTGGGGGGGGGTAGCAGGCGGAGAGGGGGTGTTACAAAAAAAAAAAATAAAGAAAGAAAAAAGGCATCATTGCAAGTCATTCATTTTATCTATTTATTCTCTTTGGACATAGTGTTGAATGCTTATTACTGCGAACGGATTATTCCGATTTATCCACCGACAGTCTGTCTGACAATCACAAAGAACTGTTTCCTGTCAAGAGAATATAAATTATTTTATTCTGATAAAAGTTGCAAAAGAGTTTTTATATCTGGAAATGCCACTTGCAGATGCAGTGAAAATAAGGGGCTAATTAAAAATCTTTTCCACAGTATAAACACGGTGATTCACGTCAGCCCTGAGTGACCAAGGGACTGACCCTGACGCCAGATCTTCCACTCTTCTCTACTTTCAAGGCTACGAGACGTTCATGCGAAAATGTCTTTAAAGCTTCTATTTTATGCAAAACTACAGTTTAATTACACTTATCCCATTGCTGAGTCAGTCGAAGTACAAAGTGGATCAAGATACATGAATGCTGCATTACATTAGGATACAGTGTACATCAAAGATGAAAGCGGGACTAAGCCTGTGAGAAATGACAAGACGGGGATTCTGGTATTACTCCCCTCTGTCTGAGCTGCTGGTAGCTGTATTAGCTATTCTGTGTGTAGGGCTCATCCCCTCAGAGCCTGAACGGTGTCAAGAACTGAGACTTGGGAAGGAATAGTTTATGAATGTAGAACACTGAGAAATGATGTAAGCCCACGTTTCATTGTGGATCAAAGACCAGGTAATAGTCATGCTGAGAAAAAAATGCATTATTGACTGAGTGTACTAGACGCAGTACAAATATCCACCTTGTGAACAAGGAAAACGTGATTAAGTCTGGTTGATAATAAGGTCGGTGATTTGAAACGATAAAGAAGTGCATGACCTTACTAAGTTACTTCGTGAAGTTCAGGACTGTAAAGACAGCGCACGGTATTTTAAATTAAAGAAATACTTTTACATTTTGGAAATAAGCAGATTTGATTTATTAAGAATATATATATCAGCTTCATACTGAAAATACACAGAAAGGTTACAGAGAGAAGGTAGTTAGGTTGGCTTATTAGGCACGTTTGAAGCGCAAGGAAATAGCAAGCCATTGTAAAATAATACATAGGCCACAACATTGAATACTACTGATCATCTGGTTGCAACACAATGTTATGTTGGGACACACTGGCTTATGGCATTTCTGTTTCTGACCACCCACCAAAAGGTTGTTGCTGTGGGCTCCCACAGTAGAAGCACTCTCATCAACGCATTGCCAACTTCCCATTCCAGTCAAGTATCCGTGGGATGTGCTGGTAAAAGATTAATCCATCGAGGCTTCACTTGTATCCCACAGGACCCGAAGGATCCACTGCCAATGTCCTGGTGCCAGACTTCCCCAGAGCTCCTGTACTCATATCCCACCCGGCCAGCGCTGTTATGGGTGAAAGGGAAATACACAGTTTTACCAGATGGTTTTAATGGTTTAATTGGTTTACAGGAATTTTTTAAAAAGAAAACACACATTTACTATATATATATATTAGGGCTGCCACGATTTGTCGACTAGTCACGATTACGTCGACTATCAAAATCGTCGACGACTGATTTAATAGTCGACGTGTCGTTTGAAGCTTTGTAAGATCGCAAAAGACGCAGGAATAAGTAGCAGGATTTAAGAGTGTAATAACGGACTGAAACAGAAGATGGCAGCACTGCATGTACAAGGATGCCAGCTGCCGTTAAACCCCGAAGAAGAAGAAGCAGCTGTGTCCCAGAATTCATAGCGCGGCCCAGCTTAGTTTCCAACAATGGCGGTAGCTAGTTAGTTTTAATATTACTCTTATTATTCTTTCTGGGTCACAAAATAAACGTTTAACATATTTTCAGGCGAGAATGTAGCTGTGTAAACCTCAAATATCGGCTCAGTTTATCAGGACACCACATATTTTCAAAAGCGCTCCGACGTTTTCGGAGACGTCTGTTACCCACTAGCTCGATAGCTAGCCGGGGGCTAGGTCACTAGCGCCGTGAGAACACCGGACTCCCGGCAAATTGTTTTCAAACCCACCGCCGTCTTTCGCGACTCAGGTTAAATATATATGAGTCACTTAGATAAATTAAAAATGTTGTTGTTTGGCTTTTTTTTTTTTAGTATTTTATTTGTTCCTGAGTAAATCGGTTTGGCTGAGATTAAAGTTATAGTTTTTACACAGCTGAATAAACGTCAAGCAGACAGCTGATTATCAGAAGTGTGAGATGCTGGAGAATATACTCCGGTGTCCTGTTATATTTTAGATAGCAAGGAGTTTATTAAACTTTACCGAAACAATCTGCAAATTTCATTAAAATTGAATAAACTATCATCTTGTCTTTATTTTTAGTTAGCACCTTAAAAGCTTAAAGCTGTAAGCTAATGATAGTTATATAAGAGCAGATGCTGCTGGTGCAATAAGCTGTAGTTTTACGTCCAGTGGATGATGATCTGATTAGTCGACTAATCGCATAAATAATCGGTGACTAGTCGACTATCAAAATAATCGTTTGTGGCAGCCCTAATATATATATATATATAAGTTCCATGCAGGGACTTTTGTAGAGAGCTAATGAGAGAAGACATCCCCTGACTACACACATTTAACACACTAATGATGAGACAAAACGTCCAGATTTATGATTATGTGATAAATGACTTCTAGTCTTTTATATGTCCTGACAGTTTTGAGTATTTTCTGCACTCCTTCCTGGCCTGGCTGAAAAAGGTTATTACCTCCATGCTTACCATCAAATATTTACCATTAGATGACAATGAGCAATGGTGGAGGACTTTTCAAGAACTGTTCCCTTAGTAAAAGTAGCAACACTACACTACGAAAACACATGACTCCTGTGTATTACTAGCAAACTTTAAATATCAAATGTAAAAGTTCTCATTCTCCAGAAAATGATTCCCCATCAGTGTTATTTGGGTTATTATTATGGCTATAGATGGTTACGTTTGAGCTAATTTTTAATACCTTGCTTTGTGTACACTTTAATCTAAGGTAATAAATCGTAATCTAAAGCACTGTCATAAGTTAGTAGCAGGGGTGTTCTGTAAGCTCAGAAAAACAATCCTACACCTTAATTAAAATTAAAATGTATTCATATAATATAAAAAAAAAACATCACAGCTGAATTAGAAGTCTTGAGCAATGTGTAACAGACTTAACAGTCAGTATACTGTATACAGGGAAATAAAAATACTAGTTCAACTTGGTCCATCTGGTCCACCAAGCTGATTTCTGCACCTGTTAGAGTTGATAGGCTAGGTAATGATGTTACTTCTTTACAGTCTGAGTTTTGTTTCTATCATGTTTAAAAGTCTCTCTTTCTAATAATAGGTAATTATAGCATAACATATCTTTAAAGATAAGAAATCACATTAGAGTAATTTGATTGTTCACTTGCTAACGTTTACTCTGCTTTCACACGTCAGGAATTACAGATCAGAACTAAAGCAGAGTCAGGAGTAGCAAGCAAGCTAGTCACCCTTCAGCCTCGAGCCAGACAGCTCAGGTTTATCCACAATGTGTATGTGCAAAGAGCTAAAAAAGCCTCTGTTAATGGGATATAAACATACCCATGAAAATGACAAACTATGAAAACCAATAGCTCCAAGTCAACCGAGCTCCCACATACAACTGATAACTGCAGTCGCAAGATAGCTTTAATTTAGAAGATAGATGTGAAGAGGCAACATGAAATCATTTGTGGGACACAACACTGTCTGAGACGCAAGTCTGAAGGTTTGTTTCATTTTTTTACAAACTTGAAAAAGCAACAAGTTGTCATTTTACCTAAAGATGATTATAATAAGTGAACGACACATATACTGGATTAAACATAATAAGCAAGAAAATAAAAAACAAGCAACAAAAGACAAAAACTGAAATAACTAGTGTTTGAGTACAAAGATGAATGCTAAAACAAATGGCTGTAATCTGTGGGCCTTCACACACCTCTGAATTTAAAACCAGATAAGCTATCTTACTGGTATTAGATCTCAAATTTTCTTATGTTTCAAAGAACAATATATGTAGCGACTTCCACAGTCGCTAGAGGCCGGGGATGAAGCCTGCCTATTTGCCTGACGCGCTGTCAACTTTACGCAATAATGCGAGAGGTGGAATTGTTTGCTTGTTTATTAAAGTGCTTTGTGAGTTTACAGAGTAATGTCATCGGATCCCGATTCAGACTCTTACAACGTCACAGGCTCTAATATAACGAAGCGA